AGGCAGACCTCAGCCAAGGAATAACTGCATTCATCTTAATCTTTATATGCACCCAGTCAGGCAACTCAGGGTCACCATGATGAAAAATAATAATCTTCAACTCAACAAATTACTTTGCAAAGACAGACATTTCTTTACTTTTGGGGATGTGTGTTCTCCAGAATCTTAGCTGACTGTTTATAGGTTGGGTGTTAACAACAAAGTGAAGGTTATTTTAATGAATAGTAATGTTTTTAGGCACTATACAAGACAGGCAATGAATACAGCTGCCACTTTTCTCATTGGCTTTTATTTTCACTGTTTCCATAAAGATAAAATTATATCTGTGTTCATCAGTTGAAATATTTTACTCAGCTAAGATAATGTATTTGATATGAACTGAAACATTGTTCAACAGAAATACCATTTCTGTTAAATTCTGTTAAATTACTCAGCCACATTGTTCAGTATGCAAAACACTGTCCAGTATAATAAATGCATCAGTCAGACATTTATTACATACTCCCAGTTATTGTTATTTATTCATTTTAATCACTGAATAGTTTTGCACTTAGTAAATTACCACAGATCAAGACTTGTGGAGGAAATCAAATCACAAAGAAATAAGATAATTAAAATTAAATTTGCCAGCTTCCTATAGAAAATTTTTGGCCATTTCTTTAGCAAATAAAATAATCAGCTATGGACATGGGTTCTGTTTTTTAGACAAGTGGGACCCTGCAACAAAATATCACCATGTCTCTTATCACCCGTGATCATTTAAATTCGGGTGGCATTACCATTTTCTTCCCTCCCCAAAAAGTTCCTCCCAAGCACATGATGTAACCAGCGATCCAGTGACAAAAATTCTACTACAATCAGGCAAGTATCCCAGAAGGTATCAGACAGATTAGAACAGTTTTACTAAATGCACACAAGACCCACACAGTCTCTTCCGGACAAAATGACATGTACTCCCACCCTGAGGGCACCAGAAAATTGGCATACAATTTACTGCATGGGCTCTCACTCTGTGACCACCCCACTATCCAGCCTCCGCCTGGTTACAATCAAACTAGGAAGGGGGTAACTGCCTCACCCTCAGCATTCCCAAGGGTATTCCCCAAGGGAAATACTTTTTCATGTCATCTCTTTGATGCCAAGTCTGCTGCCTAAGGGTGCCCTGCTTTTATGCCACCTGACCTAGTCAGCCACTGATGCAAGAGGCTGCAACAGTATTATTACTCTTATTATTCATTTTATTTCTACACTGCTTTATATTTTAAAAGGGGGAAAATCAAACAAAGCAGTAGGTGCTGCTTTCTCTCTGGTCTCTCAGTCAGGGAAGAAGGCAGGGTTCCAGTCCCTTCATTGCTTTCAAGGGACCCCAGCTGTCTCTGGAACACCAGGAAAGGGAGACTACAAAAGCACATACAGTGATACCTCAGGTTAAGTACTTAATTCGTTCCGGAGGTCCATACTTAACCTGAAACTGTTCTTAACCTGAAGCACCACTTTAGCTAATGGGGCCTCCTGCTGCTGCCGTGCCGCTGGAGCACGATTTCTGTTCTCATCCTGAAGCAAAGTTCTTAACCTGAAGCACGATTTCTGGGTTAGCGGAGTCTGTAACCTGAAGCGTATGTAACCTGAAGCGTATGTAACCCAAGGTACCACTGTATTTGGTCAAGTACTCACTCCCTGGGTAGATCTTCTCTAGAACCATTGTGCTCCTAGTTATGCTAGTGGTGGGGGTGGCCCTGTACACTTTCCCCCCTAAAGTTTTTTTGAGCATCCGCAAACTTCTGTGTTACCCAAGTTCACATCAACACCCCTTTCTTGTGCATAGGTTGTGAGGGTTTTTTGTTTGTTTGTTTTTGCTAAATAAGCACAAGCATGGTAAGCCTTGAACTGGTATTATTATATGTGACGTTTCGATTTCCAGCTTTAGTTTGCCTCATTTATATGGGACATATTTAATTAAAGCTTTCAATCTGCATTAGACCTGAGTATTCATATTGGGCTGGTACATATGTACCTATGCATTTCTCCCTGATCACAGGATTCTGGGAGAACTTTCAATTCATCTACTTTTTGGCCCTTTGTCTTGGTAATGATTACTGACTTAGATGGTTTAAAAAGAGATTACAGAAATTCATGGGGTATATATCCGTGGCAACTAGTTATGATGGCTGTATACTGCCTCCAGGATCAGAGGCAGTATGCCTCTGCATACCAAGTTGCTGGGGAACAGCAGCAGGGCAATGCTACGGCCCTCAGGTTCACCTTGTGGGCTTCCCATAGGTATCTGGTTGACAATTGTGGAGACAGGACATTGGGATAAGTAGGCCTTTGATCTGATGCAGCAGGGCTCTTGTTATGTTCTTATTGTGAGCTAGACTTCTTTAAAGGGAGAGGCAGTCATCTCTTAAGTGATAAGAGTTCATAATTTCCACTGCCAATGTATGAACCAGAAATTACCCTCTTCTGCCCAACCCTGCTCTTTCACCCATATTTGTGTGTTTTTCTTCACCAACCCCCACCACAACCTCTCCTTGGTGCTTGTAATATTAATGACAAGACTTCACCACATGGTTGTGCTTGAATGCTAATGAAATCACAGGGACTTTTTTGCATTGATTTCAATGAGACTTAACCCCAAGTAACTTTGGCTAGACTGGAGCCTCTCTATTTAACTACAGTGATATAGATCACATTCCTACAATGATATAGATTCCTACACAGTAAATTTCTGCTTCCAAGTTAATAAAGTCTATATATAAGCTGAAAGACAACAGAGCATAGCTCCTCCCAGGAACAGGGCGCTACAAAAGTGACACTTCTAATGGCTTCTGGATAAAATTATTCAAAATATCTGTCAAGCTAAATACTAAAAAAATTAGTACAGGATGCAAACACTGATGTTTCAATTAAGAGAGAGAGAGAGTATGTGTGTGCATGCGTATGTGTGTATACCCTTTAATTGAAATAACAGATGTTGTGCTATAGAAAATGTTTGCATCTTTTATTAAAATGTTGAGCAAGAAGCCTGAAAGATATTTATATATAAAAATTTGGCATATGCAATCTGTCTGATATCATGGCATGCTCTTGTTATAAAAATAAGAAGCAAGGAAAAGTATTACTGGAGCTTTTAGATAAAGGTAAAGGGACTCCTGACCATTAGATCCAGTCGTGGACGACTCTGGGGTTGTGGCGCTCATCTCGCTTTACTGGCTGAGGGAGCTGGTGTACAGCTTCCGTGTCGTGTGGCCAGCATGACTAAGCCGCTTCTGGCGAACCAGAGTTGTTTAGCTTCCCGTTGGAGCGGTACCTATTTATCTACTTGCACTTTGACGTGCTTTCGAATTGCTAGGTTGGCAGGAGCAGGGATCGAGCAATGGGAGCTCACCCCGTCGCGGGGATTCAAACTGCCAACCTTCTGATCGGCAAGCCCTAGGCTCTGTGGTTTAACCCACAGAGCTTTTAGGATCTTCCAATTACATACATTACTGATATAATTTCCGTTGTATAAAAGGCCTTCCAATTTTAGCAATGTTACAAACTGACTTATGCTACTGTCCTAGTGAATAACATTTCCCCCCTTATCATAGATGGCATCCAGTCTTGCAACACAATTGTAGGCAATTCTTTTCAGAAGTAAGACTGTCTGGGTTCAACGAAATAGATATGCAGCCTTAATCTCTTAATCATTGGATTAGAGCATGAAAATTAGTATTAAATGCACACATAAAGATGATGAAGGTCAATGTCAATGAGCATTTGTGTGATACTGTTACTGCTTTTTGCAGTTTCTGCCAACCAAATACCCCTAGCAATAAAATAGCACAAGTCAATGTGCTGAATTAATATATTTCCATTTGCATGGATGACTCAATCTTATAGTGCTATTTTGCCTATACAGATTATAAACAAGAGGTTGCCCTTTATAAAATGTAGATGAAATAGGCAGAACATTCTACTGTTACTAGTGAAGTTTATTCAACAAACTATATAATAACTGGCAATACCAGCAAAATCACCTGTTAAAAGAGATTTCTGAATTATGAAGCAGTATATAAATGCTTTTAAATAAAATAAAGAAGACTTGATTAATCCACCTGCTACCAACGAAAAATACACATAACTCAGAGAGCTATAAAACACGTAAGCCCTCAACTTTTTTTGGAAAAATCTCGTGAATTCGAAGTAAAATCTGGAAATGTTGATATTCTTCTCATAAAAAAGCAGAGGGGTACTTTTATTGTGAGATCTGAATTTCTTTCTGGATATGCTGTTACGTTACAAAATTAAATGTGCTTCTTTGTTTCTAATCACAGAAGACCATAAAAAGCTTTTTGTATGAACTATATCCTCCTTAATTTAATCTCCATAGTAAAATCCATTGCAAGAATATATGTAATGACAATTCACCCTTCTATGGGAAAAACACAATTTTCCTTGTTTTCTATTTATCCTATAATCAGAGCCCTGCGGGAATTCAGTATCTGCTACAGTAAACATTTTTACTAAGAAACATTTCATTATTCATGTTGTATAGTCAAATGGTAGCAAAAAACAAAAACAAAAAGTGAAATATCAGGTCTTCTTACCAGTCTATGCCCAGTTTTCTTGCCTTTAGTAACTGGTTTTCAATCCAGTTTGGCCTTTGTTGTTCAATGCTCTGTATAATCTTGTGAGTCACTTGTTTAGGGCTACTTTTCTTTTTCCCTATAATATTTTCCAAACATACACGAACCAAACTGAGCTTCTCTTTGCTCCATCTGTCAAGAGTCGTACCCGTTAAAAGTTCTGTGGTGTTTCCATCCTCAAATATCCGACATATAATTACAATCAAGATCCAGACAAGAAGACCAGCTTTTTTCGATTCAATTAAGTTTTTTGGCATTTTTCTCTCAGAGAGAAAAAAGAAATACTTAATTGGGGGAGGCAAACATGCAATCACTGTAGGTAACTTGCTGATTACAATAGATACTGCCTGAGCAGCAAGCCTTGTGAAGCCTTTAAAAAAAGAATGAAAGAAGGTATGATTAACATTAAACACTCTTGCTATACAATGCAGTTATGAAGACTGAATGCCAATGTTTAATTTTAGATGTCTCTTAGATGTATACCCCTGGTTCACATGTTTGCTGGGGTTGCTACCATTATTTTGTGGTGGTGGAGTGAACATGACTTCATGCAGATAATATTTTGTGTAACCTGGACAGTCCATAAGACCAGAGGGTCAGTTAGTGCATATTTCCACCCAACCTTTTTTTATGTGAAGAAATCCCATTAACCAGTTCTTTATATGATCAGTCTCTTGTACTGAGCATCTGGACAAGGTGGTGGAGGCAGGCCAGGGTTAAATGTCCTGGAAGTGGACCGGAGTGAAGCCTTTTGGCCCAGCCCAGCCCAGCCCATCCGCTGCAACCAGTCTGTCTGTGATTGGCTGAATGTTGGGCAGGCTGAAATTCACTTTCCAGGCCAGTGCAAGTCCAATTTGGAGTCATGCTAGCTTGGGAAAACACTTCAGCTCCATGTCCCATGCTGGATCAAGGCGCACACTAGGCGCTGTCCCACACAGACCCCCAACCCCAAAGGTAAGGGTCATTATATGATCAGCTGCTTGTACGGAACATCTAGTTCACACTTGATGTTTTCTGTGTGTTGGAGGTAGGGATAAAAGATTGCATATTCATTAAGTGCCATCAGAGCCAGTACCAGCCTCTTGTTACAAATAAAGATTCTGTGAATTTATTCTCTACCAAGAATCTCACCATATCAACCTAACCTATTTCACAAAGTGGTTGTGAAAATAAAATGGGATGCCGCTCTGAGAACCTCAGAAGAAGTGTCTTCAGTTGTAAGACTATGTACACTTCATTTTATATGCACACTAATCATCTTACTCACATTCAGTGGGATATATCTCACTGAGTTTCCTACTTCATCAGGAATTTTAAAGGTAAAGGGTCCATCTCCATGTTGCAATCTAGCCATAACAAAAATCAATATACTATCTGTATATTATCTATACAGTTCTGCTACTTTAATACCACTTGAAGTTGGTTCAGACATAAATTACTCCCACATTCCACATTAAAGACCCTTTCATAAAAAAGTAAGAGTCAAATATAAGCGTGACATTTTGAAATTTAAATTCAAGCACAAAATGAATAAAGGATTTTGAAACTTGTTCTCAGGAGCTAATTAGAGGGAAAGGTTCCAAGTTTTAAAAACGGCATGCCATTACATATTACAAATATGTGACAAAGTACATTCCAATGTTACACCCCAGCATAAACTATAAATTAAACTTGTGATGATTGTAACATATTTACAATAAACAAAATATGAACATAGCAATCTGTTTAATAAACTGTAAAAGACGTAAAGAAAAACAGGTTGCTATTTTAATAATTGGAGACCTTTAGCTATCACTAACATAATTTTAGCAAATACAATAATGTATTAAATGTATTAAAATTTAAATAAAATTAAAATTGATCGTAAGTGGCAGTTGTGCTTATTTTATGGCACTAAGTTCCTTATCTTCTGTTGCTCATGCTGTTATTCTTGTGTGGTGCATCTTCCTGTCCTGCAAGAAGCGCTCAGAGACCCAGAAGAGCCAGTGTGACTGGACAACAGTGGAGACAACAAAGGCAGAGCACACAAGAGCTCTCTGCTTCTGCTACCACATATGTAAGCTAAGGAAGAAAGAGTATTGCCTCCTCACTTGTCCCAACACAATTGCAGAATCATCTGGCTAACTGGGAGCCTAGGAACCTAGCCACATCATGACAGCAACCACGACAGACATACAAGGGTGTATGTTATTTGCAGCATTGTAGTGTAGGAAAGGGTCCCACCCACTCTTTAATCCTACTTTCCCACCCACCTACCCACTACAAACACATGGTATAATGCCAGTCTTGCCAGACACTGAACTAAGAAGAATAGCCAACTTAACTGTAACAAAATTTGATGATTGTTGACATTTACCTGTGTCCACTGCTATAGCCCCTACCCAAATAGCATCACTAAATATACCCCTCAATTTTTTTTTCATATTAGTGAATGGCTACCATTCTCTCCTGTGAGGTAAAAATGTAAGTGCTGTACTGAGGGAAACTTATTGCAACAAGAGCAAAACTAGCTCTCTATTGGATGGTATGGATGCCAGGGTGGATGGGGGAAGTACTATGCATCTTAGTTTGTTCTGTGCACAGAGATATATATATTTAAAAAATCTAATTGGTTTATATAGACTATGCATTAAAATTATCACTAAAAAGTCATAAGTTGAAAACAACTACACCTAAAACATTTCAAAATATAAATAACATGAGTAGTTAAAAATTACATTATAAAAAATTGCATATTAAAATGCATGTCAAATTTACATTTCAAGGTAGGCTTTTCTGAACAACAAAAGAAGAAGAAGAAGAAGAGGAGGAGGAGGAGGAGTTTGGATTTGATATCCCGCTTTATCACTACCCGAAGGAGTCTCAAAACGGCTAACATTCTCCTTTCCCTTCCTCCCCGACAACAAACACTCTGTGAGGTGAGTGGGGCTGAGAGACTTCAAAGAAGTGTGACTGGCCCAAGGCCTCCCAGCAGCTGCATGTGGAGGAGCAGAGACGCGAACCTGGTTCACCAGATTACAAGTCTACCACTCTTAAGCACTACACCACACTGGCTCTCTGAAACTGAAGGGTTTCAGCAGGCACCAAGAACAGTGCATTGACTGTATCTGCCTAACGCCAATAGACAGGGAGTTCCAAGAGTGCATGTGCTGCCAAATGCGAAGATTGATTCCTTGCAAGTGTGGAATGGACTTTACATGGCACTTGTAAAAATGTCAGTGTCACAGTTCAAAGTGGCCAAGTAAGTGTATATGGATAAGGCAATCCCTCAAGTAAATGGGTCCTAAATAGTTAAGAGCTTTATATACTAATAGTGACATCTTGAATTTGGCACAGTAACTAATTGGCAACCAGTGCAGATCTCTGAGTAGAGAAGTAATATGTTGACAGGGTTTCACTCCTGTCAGGAATCTGGCTGCAGCATTCTGCACTAACTGCAGTTTCCAGACCAAGCACAAGGGAATCCTCACATGAAGTGAATTGCAGTAATCCAATACTGAAGTCACCAATGCCAGGATTAATAGTATGTTTATTCTGTCACCCCATTTGCTTTCCCAAAGAGACCTTGCTGAATGTGGGCCTTCCACTAGCCCACAATAAGGATTGCACTAAGAACTCAGTAAGACAAAGTACTGTACCCAAGTATGTAAGCAGTTCCATGAATAGTCTTCTAAAATACCATAAATTGTATTACTATAGTATTCATTATCAAATCACACCACTTAATTCTAATTTTTCAGTTTTGATTTGTCCTCGTTAAATGTATAGCTATTATTTTGACAGGAATTATATAAGCACACCTACATTTCCCAGATTCTTTTCTCTTCATTTCTCTAGGTGTGTAATTCCACTCCTTTGGAACAGTCTTCAGCAAACTTTCAGGGACAATTTGCTTGTGTTGATAGGTTCCATAGTTTTCCGTTGCTTCCCATGAATGCATCAAAGAAATGATCTGCTTCACAATACCCTTAACTGAATTAATCAAAGTCAGCTTCAAGCATCTGATAACCTCTGGCTCTGACTCAACGCAACTAGAAACTTTGGAGACAAAATAGTAATAATATTAATTTAAAAGAATACATTAAGTTGAGCCTCTTTAGCAACATTTAATGTTACTATTTTAGAAAGTTTTGTATACTTTTCCATGTTACAGTCGTATAATAAAAAAGCAACCAGAGTAAAATAAGTTTCTACATAACAATACTATGTTATCAAATGCCAGACTTTTATAAATTATTTTCTCAGTTGCCATGCCTTTGTTGTTTTGCTTAGAAGTTGATAATTACTACTATCCAACATACTACTTCTGTTTATCTTTGCACTTAGACAAGTTATCATGACTGACTTGACCTGTGTGATAATATAACAATGTATTGCATTTAAAGGTAATTGTGGCTTTTGGTGGTTTAGTTTCTTAAAAGGTGGAATAGACTGAGTTCTGGTCCTGGCTACAGAAGAGGAAAATACCAGTTCAGGCTCCTTCCTCAACTGTCATTAGCAGCCATTCCATCAGGCTATAAAAAGAAGTGGAATACACAGGCATTTCCATCAGTAACATTTGGGTCTTGCTCTCTTTGAAATCTTTCCATTTCAGTTGCTCATTACCAGAGTTCTAGATAACTACGAAATAGTCCCAGGATTGCTTATTCCCCTCCTTCCTCTCTTTCATTTTGCATCATGGCTTTTAAATTGTTAACCTTAGTGCAAGAACTGTCTTATCACTGACATTTGTGTGCCACCCTGGGAGCCGTTTTTTGGCTGAAGAGCAGGATAAATATACTCTGAATGAATGAATGAATGAATGAATAAATGCTTTAGAAAACACTGAGTTAAATCTGCAAGAACGAGGCACATGAAATGAAGTTCAAAATGGAAGTGCCTGATGTGGTGCTACAGATGAAGCTAAGTGGAGATTTTCCTAGAGCATCCAAGAATGAAAGTAACTTCTGTGGTATTATAAGAAATTTCTACGACTGGTTCTCAATTTGAAACCTAAGATCCTCTTTCAGATACAATTTTATATTTTCTAAAGCATCCCACACATATGTTGCTGCCCCCCTAGAACTGGAAGAAGACCTCTGGGGCAAAGAGGTAGGAATTGGTGAATCACATAAACAGAACTCCACTCCCAGCAAGACTGGATACACCCCCGAAAGATAATTTCACTGTGTTTTTCATACCTGATATATTGTATAAACAATCCCACATCTGTTCTTTTTCCATGTAGTTTTCAAGAACACCACCAAGTGATTTGGGAGATAAAGTACAATAAGAAAGCACTGCAAAGATTGCTTCAGTCAGACTAGGTTCTTGGCTGCTCTTCATGTCTAGGCAAGTACTTTGTTCTCCACTTTTTGATAATTCAGATTCTTGAATAAAGAAAGAAGAAAAGTTCAGAAGTTGAGGTAGTAGTGAAAGTGTAAGTGGACCTACAACAAAATTTTGTAGTATAATGAATGTCAGAATCTAGCTAATATTTGGGCTAAGAAGGAAAATACAAGCTACAGAATTGTACCAGACAAGGAATCCCTGGGCAAACCAGCCTGACTAGGCTGGTTGAATGCAAGCCATTATCAAACAATGGCAAGGCATCTACATGTCAAAGAACCTTATCAGGTCTGTGCAAAGCAAGGGTTGCTGATGTGATGGAAAGGCGTCAGAAAAGAGTGTCATTTTACAGGAGTCTTGGATTTTTGTTGAGAGGTGTTGCTGGGAAGGAGGGAGGAGGCCAGAGGCCAGACCTCTATGAGCTGCAGGGCAGGCCAGAACTCCATGCAGCAATGGTCAGAGGAAGCTGCACTGAGAGACAGTGGGCAATGAGAGGGGCAATGGAAGACACTCTTGGGGTATCATTTGCTGCACAGCCTCCACTGCCCACTTCTAGGTGTAATTATGTCTTAATAAAACCATATTTCTTAAAGACACTAGCCACTGTGCCTCAATCTTTCTAAAGGAAACCCAACCCTGTGTAAGCAGTTGGAACCCCTGGATTCTCACACTGCTCATGGAGATTGGGGAGGCATGTAATAGTATTTTTAGGCTAAGATCTATGGTCTTTTCTTACACAATAGGGGTTTTTCTTACAAAAACAAACTCTTAAATGATATCCGTGTTCTGTGCTAGAGAAACAATTGTTTATAGCTCAGCGTGTCTAGGCAGGATGCAATCCGCTGAAGCTCAGGGTAATGGTCAGTCAAAAGCTTAATAAATGCTGTCACTCCATCCTTGTGATCCTTGAACACACTAGTAAATATAATCCAACAGCAGGGGGAGAATATGAGCTTCAGACATCTTTCAGTCTTTGCTGACATGCATTTAAATAGGTAAATGAGTGCATTGCAACATTCAATAAAAAAAGGACAAAAGTTTAGTTGTGGTGCTCTTCTGACAAATGTTAGACCAAATGCCGGATCAAGAGAGCTGCAGAATATCTACAGCTAACGTTTTAGTAAATAACAAACACATTATATTTTAAACAGGATTAGCATGATAAATGTGAGTTCCTATCAAAACAAAAAATCCTGAGCAAAAAAATGAAAGAAAATTAGATTGCAAGTATTGAGCCTAATGCTAATTATGTGAAGTGATGACCACGATCCTTCTGCTAATATTAAAATAGCGAACAATGTGGCAATCCTGAACAATTTACTTGTGTTTCTTCAGCGGTAAAATATTGCAACTATAGAAAGTGTCAGTACTTACTGGAACTCCTCAGTAAAAGTTTCACTAAGAGACAATCGTGATGTAGCAGGGTTTCCAAAAGCAAGTTCCAATTACAGCATGGCTGGGATAAGAGCAGCTTGAGTTGACCCTGGGCTGCCATTCCTCTGGCTGATGGAGTCCTTTCAAAATGTAAGATAAAGACAGAATAATGTCGTTAATTTATCTATGAAATTAATAGCCTTAAAGTGCAGATGTAATGCTAACTCCTTTAAATGTCAATTCCTCCCAGATTACTCTGAAAATGCTTTCATGGTTGCTTACTTTAAGGCTGCTCAGGGAAGGAATTACATTTAATCTCAACTAGCTAAAAAGCAAATTAACATTTGGTAGGCTGCCAAATTTTAACTGATACAAAGTAACCTCACTTATCTCTTTCATTGGGGCCAGATATGCTCTTGTTTCATGAGGCAAAAATCATTTTTAATGCCTGAATAAATCTGAGGCATTATATTTTAGTTCAATGTTGTATTTAAGTGTTTAGAGTGATGTTATAAAATATTTGAAATCAAGTCTGTGAAATAAGAAAGAAACAAATAGGGTTGGGTGGGAAATACGATGCAAGCTACTTGTCACACTATAATTAAGGCAGAATTATAAAAGTATATTCGGTAACATAAAACAGATGTGTCCAATTCTGGGCACCACAATTTAAGAAGGATGTTGACAAACTGGAACGTGTGCAGAGGAGGGAAACCAAGATGATCAAGGGTCTGGAAACTAAGCCTTACGAGGGACACTTGAAGGAGCTGGGTATGTTTAGCCTGGAAAAGAAGAGACTGAGAGATGATAGCCATCTTCAAATATCTGAAGAGCTGTCACATGGAAGAGGGAGCATGCTTGTTTTCTCCTGCTCTTGAGAGTAGGACTCAAGGCAATGGCTTCAAGTTACAATAAAGGAAATTCCGACTAAACATTCAGAAAATCTTTCTGACAGTAAGAGCTGTTTGGCAGTGGAACAGACTCCCATGAGAGGTGGTAGACTCTCCTTCTTTGGAGGTTTTTAAGCAGAGGTTGGATGGACATCTGTCATGGATGCTTTAGCTGAGATTCCTGCATTGCAGGGGGTTGGCCTAGATGACCTTTGGGTCCCTTCCAACTCTATGGAAGTTCTATGATTCTAAATTATATATTAAGTATAAAGGCTTCATATTAGCCCAGTTCCCTGCTCAATTTCCCAACATTTCTATGTATTCAGATAATGTTCAGGAAATGCATAGCTCTTTTCACCATGCTACCATTACCATGCTATGTAATTAGGTATCTAACTATACAAATTAGAGCAACACTTCCCTTCAATTTCTAAACATAAGAAAAACAAGGCCTTTGGACAGTTAAGTATTTAAAGTAATATCTAAAGTGACTTATGGAATATTGAGGTAGAGAAAAAGCTCAACTATCATTGACCAGATGGGATGTTATTGCTTTTCAGTATTTGCCAATTCTTGGCTCTTAGAGCATCATGCAAATTGAAATGTACAGTTGATGTGATTCACTCAGAGGGAAAATAAGAGTATTACAGACATTCCCCGAAGCCACTATACTAACACTAGTAAATGCACTGAAAAGTTTTATATTGGACATATGGAGAAGCATATGTTCTCTCATCTTACAAGCTCATGTAGCTGTGAACACAAGGCTAGCCATGTAAAGAGGAAAAGGTGAACTATATATAAAATATGACACATATAAATGTTTAATTTGGTATTAAGAAAAGAACAAGTGATGGTTTGCATCTACCTCTACGAATCTACTACAATTGGGAGGCCAGCTCATCCAGGAGCTGTTGGCAATCTTACCACTTTTTTCATATCCTTTCCAGCAATATATGGATGCTTTTACATGGTACCACTAAGCTGTATTGGAGGTAGGAGGAAATGACTAGCACGGCAATGCCAATGGAAACTGCAGCACCAGCAATCAGGATATAGCCCTGTAATTCAACCTCCTCCTTTTATGCACATTCACCAAAGCTTAAAATTGGGCATTCAGCCACTAAATCAACATGAACATGCATGGAAAATCATTTATTATTAACTAAAGATGCATGCATGTATTTATTTATTTAAATAGTTATGAAAATATGTATATACTGCTATATCATGAAAATATCAAAGTGGTTTACAGTGTCATGTTGTGTCGTGTCGTGTCATGTAGTGGTTAGGGTGCTGGACTAGGATCAGAGAAGCCAGCTTAAAATCCTCAGTCACAGAGCTGGCTGGATGACCTTGAACTAGTCACACACTCTCAGCCTAATTCACGGGATTGCTGTGCAAATAGAACGGGGGTGAGGAGGACCATGTATGCTGTCTTGACATTCTTGGAGAACAGAGGGAATTAAAAATAGTATATAACTAAGTACGCATATCATCAACATCAATTTTTTCCAATCCTACTTTGAGTTATATTACAGGAAGCTTAACATCTAATCTAAAGATTGATTCCAGCATTACACAAACTGAAGTCCATTTGTGCAATGGGGCTCTTTCTCATGTCAAAACATTTATACTGTTTATTTAGTCTTATTTTATAAGCTTCAACACATTATTCATGCAATATTGACTAATGTGTAATGATAAAGACATGAACCCTATCGGAGTATTCTAGGTCATACACGATTAGAAATGTGTCAATGTTCACAGGGCCCTTGGTTGAATCCCTAACAATCTGCTCCATCTTCCTCTGTGCATTGGAAAAGGCTTGAAGTGGGAAGCATGCACTATTTGAGTAGTCTTTTTACAAGATTTAGGGTTCTAAATTACATGAGGAGCACACCCATACAGAATAGGCCTTACAGAGGGCAGCAAGGCCAACTGACAGGGACCTGATGGAGTGGATGGGGACACAAAGTGTGGCCCCTGCTCTACCCCTCATATGATTCCAATTCTACAAGGCACTTGATATCTGAATGGAGCTATGATTATTTCTATAAATGGGTTTACACAGATATGCTGACTATATGTTTTATAGTTGCCTCTAAAGAACCTCCATTCACACTGGACATTAATAAACTGAAGTGCAGTTTCCTCTTATTTTTTCTGCATTACTATATTGAATGGTAGAAAAAGCTACCGTAATTTTCTGTGTATAAGACAATGTTTTTTGCTTTAAAAAATTAGTCAAAAATTGAGGGGGGTGTCATCTTATACAAGGATGGTGAATGTACAGGTGTTTGGGCTTGGGCTTTGTGGCAGGCAGCCTGGGCTTGGGTGTGGGCTCTGGTGCGGGTGGTCTGGACTTGGATTCGGGTTTGGGCTCTGACACGGGCAGTCTGGGCTCAGGTTTGGGCTCTGGTGCAAGCGGCCTGGTCTCAGGTTCAGGCTCTGGCATGGGGAGGCTGGTCTCAGGTTCAGGCTCTGACTCAATTTGGGGTTCAGAAAAAAAGGGGTTGTCTTATACATGGGGGTGTGTTATACATGGAAAAATATGGCATGTTGAAATTAAAGACATGTCATTAAATGTAGCAGAAGCTAAAGATTTACTTTTTCAGAATAAGTATTAAAAATCATAGCATTCATTTAAATATGCAGGTTACTGAGAAAGGATACAAATTCTGTGGGGAGCATAGATAGCCTGCTAAAACGGGCGTGGGAGGAATTTTGGTCCAAAGTTAGAAAAAGAATGACAGTACAGCTGATGGCATATGCTTCATATGTAAATTGTCATTACACTTACTGAAACGGCAAGGAAATTATGCATTGCTTCCAAACATGCAACAAATTCTAAAAATACCAAATACGAACAAATCAGTTGTTCAAATGAAGTTTAGTTTTGAAGAATTATCTAGCTTTTCTAATGCCCAAAGTTACTACTTTTTCCAGATACAAAATAAAGTTTCATGTAATACTCAAAATTTAAAGTCAAAATAGTTAAATGGGAAAGAAAAACTTAGATTGAGTTATTTTATTGTCAAGAACAGCACATTTAGACATTACTAAAGCAAGAGATTATGTCTATAATCAAACATCAATGTTAAAATAATTAGATACTGCTAAAGAAGAACTACCCATTCTTCAACAACAATTACCATCACACTAAAATAGTTTGAATTGGAAGCTGGTGTAAATATAAGATGCCTGTAGTTTAGCCCTGGGTACATGGGCTGGGGAATGTGTGAGCACCATTGCTCACTATTTGGCCACATTCTTACCATCAGTCTCAAACATGGTAAACAAAAGCAGAAATCGCAAAGCGGCTTAAAACCATGTTTACGGTCAGTGCCCCATTAGAAAAGCAATAGAGGAAATTTGTATCAGAGGGTGGAGCATCTGGATGAGGAAGTGTGGCTAATTTCAGATCCCATCAGCTGGGCAAAACAATGTATAGTCTATACATTAAGTCTACACAGGCTCCACATGGAATCTGTGTGAGAAAACCAGTATGAAGAAACTATATTTGATATCTGTATAATACTGTAGTCTATTGCAATTGACTTGAACAGTTGCTCTGTTATTCTGATACTGTTGTTTCTGTGGTTTTATTTTATGATTTTAACTTATTTTATTTATGATATTCCTGTAACACGCTCATTTGGTGAAGGGCAAGCTAAAATTAAAAATACCGTATTTTTCGCCCTATAGGACACACCGTCCCATAAGGCGCACCTAGTTTTTTGGGGGGGAAATAAAGGGGGAAAAATTTATTTCCCCCCCAGGCGCGGGGCTGGGGCGGGGGAAGCCCGAGCTTCCCCCAACCCCAGCCCCCAGAACAGGCAACTCTCCGCAAGCCGCAAGAGCCCAGCGCAGGGCTCCCGCGCCTTGCGGAGAGCTGTGCGAAGTCTGGAGAGCGAGATGGGTCAGTGCGCACCGACCCCTCTCGCTCTCCAGGCTTCAGCGAAAGCCTGCATTCACCCCATAGGACACACACACATTTCCCCTTCATTTTTGGAGGGGGAAAAGTGTGTCCTATGGGGCGAAAAATACGGTAAAGGAATAACATTGAACTGAGAAATAAATAGATTCTATCTCAGTTTCTTATCTACATTTTAATATAAAGATACTTACTTCAGTAAAGAAGGGGACAATTCTGTGATGCCAGATAACCAGTGTAATGGTTGGTCAACAGTAGGCTCCAAAAAATCTGAGGGCAAGGGATCACCAACACTACTATGAAATGTCCTGAAAAATACAAGTAGTTCAAGTAGAATTAGTTCAATAATCATACTTCTTTAACAGCTTTTGAACAGCAAACAAGTATTTGGCTTGGAATCAATGAGCTACTTATAGAAGGTCTTTCAGTTCAACACAAGGGGGTCTCCAATTTCAAGTCACAGTCACTGTTCACATATTATTATTATTATTATTATTATTATTATTATTATTATTATTATTATTATTATTGGTATTATCTGCCCTTTACCAGGACGTCCCAGGATGTGGGTTACAATAATTTAAAATGCAAGTTAAAAATAGTTTTTAAAAATTACAGTTGCTGAACAGGGTGGAATATAGTGTCTCCAAACCCACAACAGTGGCGGGAAAGCCTTGTTGCACAAGCAACACTCCGCTTGCTCTTCTTAGGATTCAAGTCAAAGTACAATATAAAATTTTTCTGCTCAGATTTAAGCTATGATTTACATTTTAATGTATTCCTGTTTCTACTAGTCAGAGAATGACAGACAGTAACAACCCTCTCCTGCTGTTGCTCCACAGAGACTGGTATTCTCTAGAGCTGGGCTATTGTGTAGCCTTTACACTTAATACAGAATTCTTTCTGCTTTGTTCCATGTCCCAACACAGGATAGTTCAGTGCCCACAAATAAACATTTTATAGCCATTTGCTCCCTTGCAAACAAAGGAGGTATTTTTCTGCAACTTCTGTTGATCTTAAAGAACTTTTTTTGAGTATGCTTGCAGCAGTGAGCAGCTCTCTGCATGCCAGCTTCTAGCCCAGCAGCACTTACTAGGCTTGTGGTTCTTTTTTTTTTTTAATTTTTTTTTTATTGTAAAAAAACCTTTATTATATTCCAACAGTTAAAAAGCATATATACATCATTCATAAAAGCAAATAACAAACAAAAAGAAATATAAAGAAGAAATAAAAATATACAAAATCAAGTTTGAGTTCCTTATTGCTTAAACATTTAAACCTTATACAAATCCGTTACATTTTTTGACTTCCCACCACCACGTCGAGAGCCATAGCTTAACAATATATTCTGCAGTGTCTTCGTCTAATCGCTATTCCTACCTCGCGGTTTTTATATTATACCAACTGTGATTTTTGCATTTCCTAAAGTCGATTCCATATATGAGAGAAATTTATTCCAATCTTTAGTGAATTTATTATTTCTCTGCTGCCTGATCTTCTGAGTCATCAATGCTATGTCCATGTATTCAATTAATTTGTTCTGCCAATCGCTGATCGTTGGGATATTAGATGTTCTCCAACTTTGTGCTAGCAGTATCCTTGCGGATACTGCTGCATACTGGAAAAAAGTTTGGTCATCTTTTTTTATTTCTTCTCCCACCATTCCTAAGAGGAATGCCTCGGGCTTTTTAGGAAATGTATACTTTAAGATCTTTTTTAACTCATCATAAACCAACCCCCAAAACCTTTTTACTTCTTCACAGGACCACATATGAAAGAAGTCTCCCTCTTTCTTCTTACATTTCCAGCACGTCTTTTCCCCGGTTTTATACATTTTAACTAATTTTATTGGGGTGATGTACCACCTGTACATCATCTTTCCCATGTTTTCTCGGAGTCTGACGCAAGCCGAAAATTTCATGTCTTTAGTCCATAGTTTTTTCCATCTTTCATATTCTAGGGGGTGTCCTAGATCTATAGCCCACTTAATCATGACGTCTTTGATTTCCTCATCCATTGTATCCCAATCTAATAATATATTATACATTTTAGTTAGGAGTTTTGACTTACCTTCTATTATTTCTAATTGGAATTTAGATTTGTTATTGCTTATTCCGGCTTTTTTATGTTCTCTCCAGACAGCGTTAATTTGGTGGTATTGTATCCATCCCATTAATTTATCTTTTAATTCTTCGTATGGTTTAATTTCCCATCCTTTATCTGATCTTCTAAGGAGGTCAGCATATGTCCACCTTTTGCCTTCCATGTTTAGTTTCTTAGTTACTAGAATATCAACGGGTGACAGCCACCAAGGGGTATCTTTTTCTACTAATCTTTTGCACCTATTCCACACTTCCAACAACGATCCTCTTATAATGTGGTTGGAAAATCCTTTGTGAATTTTCCCCTTATCCTGCCACAGGTACGCATGCCATCCATGTCTGGCATTGAAACCCTCCAAATCCAGTAGGTCGGTGTTGTCTAGAACTATCCATTCCTTGATCCAGCAGAGGCACGAGGCCTCGTAGTATAATTGTAGGTTTGGGACTGCAAACCCTCCTCTTTCCCTTCTGTCAGTAAGCAACTTGTATTTAATTCTGGCCCTTTTACCCTGCCAGATAAATCTGGAAAGGGTCTTCTGCCAATCTTTAAACATTGTCGTACCCCTAACTACTGGAATATTTTGGAATAGGAATATCATTTTTGGAAGGATACTCATTTTGATGGCAGCCATTCTCCCCTCCCAAGAAAGTTGTAATCTACTCCAGCTGTCCAGGTCTTTTTTACACTCTCTCCAGGTTCTATTATAATTGTCTTCCACCAGGTTTATATTTTTTGTAGTAATCCAAATACCCAAATATTTGACCTTTTTCGATGCCATTATCCCAGATTCCAACTCGATTTTGTTTTTTAGTTGTTCGTCTACATTTTTTATCAACATCTTCGTTTTAGTTCTGTTCAATTTAAAGCCAGATAGTCTACCAAACGTTTCCATTAATTCAATCACTGTAATAATCCCTTTTTCGGGGTCTTCTGTTGAGACTACTATGTCGTCGGCATAAGCTTTAACTTTATACTTTTTTGTACCTATTCTAATCCCTCTTATTTCCGATGTTTCTCTTATCCTGTTTAGCATAACTTCCAGGACCAGGATGAATAGCAGGGGCGATAGAGGGCACCCCTGTCTTGTACCTTTAGTAATACTAAATGAGTTTGTCAAGTTACCATTGATGATTAATTTCGCTCTTTGATCTGAGTAGATTGACCTTATACCTTCTAGAAATGGCCCTCTTATTCCTACCTTCTCCATACACTTTATCAGGAAGTGCCAAGATACATTATCAAAAGCCTTCTCGGCGTCTATAAAGACTAAGGCCGCGGGGATATCAATTCTGAGGTCCAAATATTCAATTATGTTAATAATGTGCCTTACATTATCCTTTATCTGCCTGCCGGGCAGAAATCCGGCTTGGTCTTTGTGGATCGCTCTGTTCAAGTATTTATTTAATCTGCTCGCCATTATTCCAGCAAAGATCTTATAATCCTCATTGAGCAGCGATATTGGTCTATAGTTCTTTATATCGAGCGCATCTGAGTCTGTTTTTGGGATTACCGTGATATATGCCTCTCTCCATGAATCAGGTATTTCCCCCTCTTGTAGAATGTTATTAATTACGTTACACAAAACCGGGGCCAGGTATTCCTCTAGAGTTTTGTAATATTTTTGAGACAGGCCATCCGGGCCTGGGGCCCTCCCCGGTTTCATTTTCTTAATCATGGTCCTGACCTCTTCCACCGTTATTGGTTTATTTAAGAGTGCCTTTTCTTCTTCTAATAGTTGTTCCCCTCCACTCCTTTCCAGGTACCTTCCTATCTCATTTATGTCCTCATCTTCCTTCTTTTTATACAGGGTTTCATAATACTGGAGGAACTTTTCCTTTATCTCGTTAGGGTCTTCTATTATTTGGTCTTGCGATTTAATTTTGTTGATCACTCTTTGTTTTTTCCTTTTCCTCAGTTGCCACGCTAGTAGCTTACCTGTTTTATTTGCCGACTCGAAATATTTCTGTTTCATCGTTTTTATTCCCCATTCTATTTCTTGATTTATCAATGTTGAATATTGAGTTTGTAATAATTTTCCGAGTTGTTTGGTCTTCTCGTCTCCAGGATTTTTTATTAATTTTCTCTCTATTTCTTTTAGTTGTTTAACTATTTCATCCTTTTTTACCTCTCTCAAGCTCTTTTTATATTTATTCTGTTGAATCAAGAAACCCCTTAGTACTGCTTTACTTGCGTCCCAGACCACATCAATTTTTGTTCCTTTATTCAGGTTTTGATCAAAGTATTCCTTCAGGGTGTTCTTTGCCTTATCGATAGTATCCTCCTGTTCCAGTAAATAATCGTTCATTCTCCATCTATAAGGTCCTAATAGCTTACACTTTATTTCCAGAAATATAGGGTTGTGGTCCGAGAGTGTTCTGGGGTCTATTTCGCATTTCACCGATCTTGTCGAGAGCTCTCTGGAGACCCAGATCTGGTCTATTCTACCCCAGCTTCGGTGAGCTCCAGAAAAGTGTGTAAATTGTTTTTCTATGGGGTTTTTGAACCTCCAGATGTCAATTAAGTCTAGGTTTTCTTGGAGGTCATCAAAGGTTTTGGGGAGTTTCCCCTGGTTCCTTTTCCTCTTTTTTTCATTTCTGTCTATCTCTGGTTCCGGGACCCCATTCAGATCACCTAGTACAATTAATTTATGATTTTCCAATTCTAGTAGTATTTGTTCCAATTTTTTAAAGAATTCAGTTTGATTTGTGTTAGGGGCATAGACTGATACTACGTTGATTCTTTCCCCTTGGTAAGTAATTTGGACCCCCAGAATCCTCCCTTCTCCATCTTTGCAGATTAATTTGGGTTCCAATTTCTCATTCACATAAGTTACCAAACCTCTCTTTTTATTGACATCTGAATTTATGAATTCCACTCCTAACTTTTTGTTGACCAATATATGCTTATGTTTTTTGGCTACATGGGTCTCCTGGCAGCAAACCACATCACATTTTTTATTTCTCAAAACTTTCTCTATTTTATTTCTTTTAGACTTTTCGTTTAGACCGTTAACATTCCATGTTAGAAAAGTTAAAGACATTGCTAAAATTAAATATCGAGTTTATTCCTGACTTTCAATTCCTAACTTCTTCCTCTTCCTCCGTATTCTCCTCGTCCACCTCTCCTTCCTCTTCCTCCCCCCCGTCTCCCTCTCCCTCCCCCTTTCGTGGCCCCGTCCTTCCCTCCTCCTCGACTCTTCCGTTTC